TCGTAATTACACGCTGAAAACAGATATAATCCACTTTCTTAAAGGTTGTAATTTGACCACGGAGGATGTCAAAGTGGACTACGGCCGTTACTTTACGCCCCTTGCAATGTAATGCCTTCAGTCTCTCATTTTCCTTGAAGGGAACTGCGAAAGTTTTAACATTTTCGGCACTAACATCGTGATTGACTGCATTTCTCGCTGACGAGTGTCAATAGCATCATTTGTCTGTTTTGCTATTTTTTTTTTTTAAAAGAATTCAAAAGATTCACTTTCATACCATGCATCATAAAGGCATGAGCTGATTATTTTCCTAGTTCGTCTCGTGAGCATGTTATTGTTCATATTTAACTGAAATCTCTTGATACATTCTATGGTCAAAAATTACTGGTTGAAGAAAAGATTTTGGCTATCATCAGGATGTTGCAATTCCATTCTTACAATGACTATGATCGGGCTGTAAGACATATTGCAAGGAATGGTCGCTTGTACAGATTGGATAGAGTATGCTGCTTACATTTGTCTATCGCAAAAGATTGATCAATCTTCTTATGTGTATACTTGACTAGTGCTTGATGATATATATAATTGTTTTTTCTTGGTTGTTAGACTGATCGTGCCCAATGGGATGTTGTTACTCCTTATGATGGAAAAACTGTAAGTATAAATTAATTATGTTTTCCTTATTGTTTTTAGGAGTTTGAAGTGCTGGTTATTCTTTCATTATCAAATGTCGACACTCAATGAAGATAGATAGCTTTTTAGTTTTTACCCGTTTTAAGTGAAAGAATTTAGGTCTTTGCATGCATGCATACAAAATAACATCTTGATTGACAAATGATACATTTAAAACATAACTATCTGTTACAAATTATGAAGAATGTCATGGTACCTTTTCAGTTGCAGAACAATGTATGCTTTCTCTCGTATAAAAATAACATAGAAGTTGCATTTTCAAAGTTTTTTTTATCTGATGCTTGTTTTTCTTTTTTCTTTTTTTTTTTTTGGGGGGGGGGGGGGGATAATATGTAAGCATTTATGCATGCAATCAGCTAGTTGTCTTGATTTTGGGTGTCGATGGAGTATCTATTTGAAAGGGTTGCAAAGTTTTGAATATGGAATTTCGCCTATAACTGTCATATATGCAAATGACTAGCCAGTTTTTCGCCTTGAAATTTGGTTGTTGAAAGGCTGTGATTTGTTGACTCCAAAGCATGACAATTATCTAACAGCTGCCTGTTTTTGCCAGATTTTGATGCGAGGATTTCCTCGAAATGCACTAATAGATGAAATAGAACGTTTTCTGCATGGTTATGAATATGATCAGACCTCCATCAATATTTTTCTAAGGTTAATGTCAAACTATGTTCTGAATTATAAGTGATGTTCAATATTTAAGATTTTATCCAGATGATGAGTTTCGTGTGCTCACAGACAGGGAGAAACTTTTGGAAATCCCGTTAAAATGGCTACAGTACGTTTCCGTTCAAGGACTGAAGCAATGAGTGCGTTTATCACAAAGAATAAGACGTTTTGCCTTAACAGCCCAATTTCGATTATGGTTCTCCAGTAGCGAGTCTATGCCACTCCCTCGCGTTACTGTCACAGCTGGAGCGTTTGCTTTCAGACAGAGAAGACGACTAATCTCACAGCCTAGTTTTATTTGTATTGCTTTTTGTGGTCTTAGTTTTTGTGTCAGAAATAGGGGGTGACCTCAGCAATTTGGCCTGGCCATCCTAAATTCTCATGTTTATTTTGGCTGCATTGCTTCTCTGTTCTTTTCTCCCCCCAAGGACGAAGTTTATTCCATTTCCCCCCTTTATCTATATAATTAATATGATTATTATATCTCTACAATTCTGTCTCATCGTAGTGACATATCGACAACTGGTGAATTCGTTGGATATGTGTGGGAGGATCTTCTTCTGGCAATTCTCCTTCGTAACTCTCCAGCTGCCCGTGAAAATGTGGTAAGATGATAAATATGTGATATAACTCTGGTAGGACTCTCCATTGGTGATTTTCCTCCGAGATGACTGTACTGGTGCATTGAAATAGGCTCTCTTCTCTGATTACTTCCAAGATATCTTAATGAGGAGCTCGGGGGAATAAAATAACAAACATGATTCTATAGTATACACTAGGTCCTGCAACTAGGATGAAAAGCAAAAATTCGCTCCACTTTGTATGCACATCGTTTCTCAACTTCCATGGATCCCAAAGGAAAAATGTAATCCGTTAAAGCATTAGCAGATCAAGGCATCTGTTGCAAGAAATCTTGGAACTTGCAGAAGCATACTAGCTCGAGCAGGGTTGTCAACGTTGCTCGGATAATCTTCTAATTCTGCCTGCGCGACATGTTTAAACATTGAATCATGGTAACAATAGTCTCCTACTCTCCTAAAGCAGATCAAGTGCCCGCCTACAGTTCAATTTTCTATTTGCTTTTTGTACGATTTTCTGTCTGAGGCGTTAGAGGGTAAACTTGTCCCACAATTAAGCCTGGACTCAGTGCTTAAAAGGTTTGCAACATCAAACAGAGGTGTATTATCAGTATTGTTATCCTTACAAAATATCATCTCGGTTCTAAATATAAAAACTAATTTGTAATGTAGATTATATCAATATATTTAGACCAAAGGTAGTACTAAACTATATCAAGTGTGCGTGCAACGAGAGTATCCTCTACACGAAACAGGAAGAGAGATGCAAATCTATCGTAGCATAATCGTGTTCGTCCATTTCAAGACACTCCGCAACTTCCTCCTCAAAACAAGTTTAGAATGTTACATAGGCCAATAGACCGAGGCAGCGAAGTCAAAATCTGGTATGTCAAGTTGCGCCAACTCTGGCAACGTGCTTGACGAAGTTCAAGCTTGATCCTGTGTTAACAGCAAGACCTGAGTGCGCGTATAAGATCCAATCCTGGACATCATTTTATTTTTGCAATCTGCTGAGGATGAACCATTAGGAATGTTCTGGAGTTTCCTTTGTTAGAGCCAGTTGTAATGTACTTCGTATAAAAGTTAGTTTGACATTCAATTTGGTTTTAAATATAAGTTCCTAATTCATTTTGTTTTTCACATTTTTTTTTTCAAAATAGTCTTTATAATAGTTGCGTATGTTAAAGATTTTATCAAATAATAGTTTTAGCTAATATATATGATTAGTAAAGATATTCTTAAAAAAATAACATATATTTATTATAAATAATTAATTTAAAATTTTTAATCTATTTAAATTAGTTATTTCTACAAACGACCGGAGGTTGTAATATAATAGTATCAACTTGGACCAGTAATTATAATCGGGACTCTGTTTTCTTTGTACTACGTACATTTGCCTGCCTTGCCTTTTCACATCTCGAAATTGGAGAGTTTACCTGCTGCTAAAGCATACAATATCACTCAAAATATCGTTGCTTTTGTACTTTTCAGTATGAGCCCATGATCAGAGCTCGCTTTGCGCCCGCAATGCCGTAAATCTCCATTATAGGGGAATGAATGCCCACGAGGCCTTATTTTATAGTCATTGACCATGCTGGTATAATCACAGTACATTGAGAATAAGGCTGCGAGATTGTAGATGAGAAGGCCAATATATGTGTACACACACACACACTTTTATTTTGTCAGACGCGTTAATTACATTATCGTTTTCATTTATATTGTCGGCGACAAGAGGAAGAAGCCATATTGGTGGAGCCATGTCGTTTTCATTGATGAACACAGCCAAAAGCAAATTAGTTCGGGGGGATATGTGCTTGAACTGGACATTTTACCTGTCGACAAAATTTCTCCATCTTTTTCTCGGTGTCATCAGCTGGAATGTTTTGCTTACTTATTACAGAATGCTCGCCATGTCCATGCATCGACCTGATATGCATGGTGATTGGGTTGATTATCTTCCAACGTAAATATAGAATTATATGTAGTAGTTAAGCATGTTAATGATTTAAAATATGGTACTCTGGTAGCTAGGAAATATGATGAGTATATCACGATGGATGGAGACCGTAGTAAATATAAATTCCTCTTTCGATTGTCATCATAATCGCTTCTATATAATGATTAAGCAGCTAGTGGACAGAAATGACTGGTTATTAGTCTTGATCATTGACTATCTTCCGATAATAGCACAGCTTATAAAAAGCAAATTAAAAAGAATGCTAGATACATGTGTCTCTTTCCAATCATGACCACTGATTTTTTTTCTTCGCTAAACTTCTGAGAAAATGAGTCAATTAAAATGATCTCAAAAGGAATCTGAAACTGAAACTCCAATTAAAAAAATAGTAACTTTAGTATGTAATTTAATCATCTGATCCTAAAATGTAAAACCCTTATACACACTAGTATAAAGGTTTTACATTTAGGACTCGAGGAGTAATTTATTCTGATCTAACAAGAGGATTTTGCTATCATCAACAAGAGTCTGACATATATCTTGACATCTCATATTATATCTAGGTTATCGAAAATGGTACGGTTTTCTATAAATCTTATATTTTATATAGAGTGCAATTTGTGTGCCGATAAAGGTTAGTTTAATTAATAAGGAGTCGACTTATAACTCATAATCTCATAATATAAAATGAGATGAACAATTATTCTGCACTTTTAATTTCTAATTAAACAGGAAATAGTTAGAGCAAAAAAGATTAAACAGTCATCCTATGGGCTCATTTGGATTGGAGATTATAAGTATTTATTAATACATTTTACGTAATTCAAGATAATTTTTTTTTACATATTTTTTTTGTAATCTATAAATCATAATTAAAAAACTACTTGTATACTATTTCAAATAAGTCTTATATCTTTTCTCACTATAAAAAAAAAACTAAAGAACAAAGAAACAATTATTTTATAAAAAAAAGACAGAGAAGAAAAATCAGTGTACAGCACAGTTGCAAAGTTCCATGTTGGATCCAAGTCCATAAAAAGGCACAGATCGGTCCTCAAAGACTCAACTGCATCGAAAGAGAAGCACATGATCCCATAATGGAAGAAAGAGCAACCATCTTAGCAGCAATCTCCACTCTCCCTCCTTCCCAACTCTCCCACCTCTCCCTCTCCCTCCTCTCAGCCACTCACCTCCACCGCCTTCGCCTCTCCTCCGTCCTCGCCTCCCCTTCTCTCTTCTCCGCCACCCTCCGCCACCTACACTCTATCTCCCTCCCCGAAAAGTACCTCCTCATCGCTCGCCACCTCCTCTTCTCTCTCCACCGGATCACCACCCGCTTCCTCTCCGACCTCACCATCCCATCTCCGCCTTCGCCGCCTATGTCCACCGCCATTCGACAGAGAGACCTGAACGCCGTCCTCCTCCTCCTCTTTTTCTGCGAGACCCACCAACACAACCCCACAGTCCTGGAGGAGAATTATTCGGATTGGAGGCTCAGCTTATGTAATATTTTCTCTGATCAGTTGCTGACAGCTGCTTATTCTCCCGTTGGGGCGAGTACTTGGACGGCTCTGGCTCCTTACGTTGATATGGTGAGTCGGAGCTGGAGACTTGTGAAGATAAGTTGCGGCGGGGGAAGAAGGGGGCGTCGCCGGAGACGATGGCGGGACTTCCGGGCGTAGAAGTGAAGGAAGGCGGAAGGGAGTGTGTAATATGTAAAGAGGAGATGAAGGTGGGGAAGCACGCGTGCGAATTACCATGCGAGCATTGGTTTCATTGGATGTGTATATTGCCGTGGCTGAAGAACAACGACACGTGTCCTTGCTGTCGCTACCGATTGCCGTCCGATGATGTCTTCGGCGAGATCCAACGGTTAATGGATATGTTGATTAAATTGAGCGGGCGGCAAAGCCTGGTTTAGTCATGAGTGCGTCCAACCTTCACACCATACGTGCACAAGTCCATACGAGGAAGACTGAATGATGTGGACACGGTCAAAGTGAAAAGCTTTTTTTCCCCTATTTTGTTGTTAGCCAGAGTATCCTTCTACTTAAACGGTAAGAAACTAATCTCTCGGAGTACTGTCAGGCACCGTGATGACAACTCCTCCTAACAATTTTTTTTTTTTCATACACACCATCCCAAAAATCAAACTCAGAATATGATATTTAAAATGCTTAAATCCTTTTTATTTGGACTAATACTTATTTTTTCCCCCTCCTTTTTCATAAATTCGTTATATTTATCACGAGTATTGGCAAGAGGCGTCCAACTTAGGTTGATGAGTAGGCTAGGTCCAGGCCCAGGTTTAATGTGGATCTGTGTCTAAGTAGGTCTAACAATATTTAAGCCCTCACTTAATAATTATCTACGGATCTAGCAGTCTTTGGGCCCATAATTTCATGAAACATATTCTATCCCTCGTCCATGTATCTATCAAGTATCAGTGACATAATTTAAATCCAACATTTATGGGGGGAAAAAAATTATCTGTGAGTAGAGAATGATATAAAATAGGAATAATTTGGACCCTCCCTAAAGACAGAGGTCCACAATGAAATTTCAAAGATATAGTAGTAGGACCATCACCGGGTCGTGGGTGCCAAGAAGAAGAGGATGAAATGAAGGGCGCATGAGAAGGTGGGCATCTAATGATTCCGTTTGCGTCGTGAGAAGAGGATGACACGTGTCAAAACGCCATCAACTGACGTGCCAATTAAAGGGCCGCTATCTAGTGCCTCTAGTTCTGATTATAATACTTTATTTGTAGACTATAAATAAAATTTTATAATTAAAATTAAAAGTAATACTCCCTCCGTTCCTTATTATAAGAGACATTTGATGCTTATGGCATGTTTCTATATATAAGAGACATTTAAAAGTTGTTTCTATTTTTTTGTGTTGATTTCCTATTTTACCCATATTTATTGTCTCCAACTTACACACTCTCTCCTTCCCACTTCTCTTTCTTTAATAATTTAATTGTTCTCTCTCATGCTCTCTCTCCTTATTAATGAGGGCATTTTTGGAAAAAAGATTATACTTTTTACACATTGATTGTTCTTAACTAATTTTAACTGTTTTTTTGATCAACGTAATTCGGTTATTCGTCTCTTATAATAAGGAACGGAGGGAGTATTTGCCAACGCGTGGAGCGCTCCAAAAGCTGGGAGCGGCTAACTATTTACAGCATTTTATAATTGCCTTGTTGTTGAAGTAATTATGGAGTGTATGAATTAGACGTTGAAGCCGTTAATTACATCACAAATCATAAAAACGGGGACCATGCTTAAAGCTTCTGAATAAGCAGCTATTACTAAGGGGGTGTTTGACAAAACCAAAACCTAGGTTTCAGAATCACTTTTCTGCAAAACGAGGTAAACTCCTCCACATATTTACTTCGTAATCCGTAAAAGCACTTCTGAAACCATGATTTGGTTTCTATCCAAACACCCCCTTAAATCAGTGACCACTCCTTTTGCTTTGAGTGCACTTCAATCCCTGTTCCCTCTCCCTCCTACTATCCGGACATGAACCCAGTTTAACCCATCATTCCATGTTTTGGTTGAAACATGTTGAATTGCCCTGTGAATAAAATCACAGGAGTATGCAAAATAAATACTTGATCTAATCGATTATTATTTTATGCAGTTGATAATGATACACTCTTCTAATTCTTAATGTAAGACTTAATTAGCTAATTTAAGTAAATTAATGATGTCAGTTAAATTAGCTAATGTGATGTTTTTTTCCCTAAAATATTATGATCATTTTTTTTAATTTCCCTTTTATATTTCTTACATGATTATTGCTGAGAGACTATCGATAGAGTTAGTTTAAAAAAAATTGATAAATATAGAAAATAAATTTTGCATATAAAACCAATATCAGCTTTCTAATTAGGCACCATATTATTGACCAGAGGAGTAGAGAGTCGGGTTTTATGGGTTGTTTATGAGTAACGGAAATAAACGGGAGGTGATTAAATGATTAGCAAATAAAAGCCAAATCCTTTCCATCGACAGTTATGAACGAAGAAATAAACAGGCATTCAGTATGCATGCTTCTTTGAATAATAATTGCTGGATGGGATGTGAATAGAGATAGAGAGTTAAAATTATTAAACTCAAAACTCGTTTGAATTGGATTTTTCTCGTTTTTGAAAATTCTCACATGGCAGTTTTTTAATTAAAGTCCACATGAAGTTCCTTCCAATTTTCCACTGTGATGGGTAACTTAACGGGTTGAAAACAAGTACTCTAGCAATCTGTCCATATATTCAAAAATACAGTCTTAGAAGACATAACAAATCGGCAAATAAAATTTTAAAAAAATTGCTTTTCACAACATAACCTTAAAGATATAGTCTTCTGGTCCTTAATATAAAACCTAATTATAAAATTAATTTTAGTCCTAAATATAAGACATATTCTTATATCTATCAATTTTTCCCAAATCACCCATATTGATACTTCCTCAACAATAATCAAGTATGGGAGGGAGGGAGGATATAATGAAAATGATTAAAGTATTTTAGGAAAAACATGTTATATTTACTCCTCCGGTCCTTAATATAGGACCCAATTCTTGAATTGATTTTGGTCCTAAATATAAGACCCATTTCTCATATTTATTAATTTTCTCTAAATTACCTACATGGATATTCCCTCAATCATAATCAAGTAGAAGAGGGAGAGGGGTATTAAGAAAGATGATTACGGTGTTTTAAGAAAAATGTGTCACTTTTCTTATAATTAACTAACTTACCTAACTTTCTTAGTCTAATCAAATTAATTAAATGGGTTTTATATTAAGGATCGGATGAGTATTATAGTTAACTGATTTACCTAGCTTCTTTAATCTAATCAAATTAGTTAAATATGTCTTATATTAAAGATCAAAAGAGTATTATTTTGACAATGTCATTGTTAATACCTAAGCAATCCTCATACACGTTCGAAGAATGAGACGACACCTGGGTAACTTGGGATTTATTGGCCTTTACGCCTTCTAAAGAAACAACAATTGCTTTACGCAAACTCTTGGCCCTTGGGTTTTTGGATTTATATTTATAATTAATATAATTATTTAAAAAACATTCAAGGGAGTATGGCTTTTGTAAGCTTTGTGTTTTCGTCAAACTTTATTGAGTTGAAAGGATGTTTAAAATGGAAATTAATACACTATACTCAACAAAAGATCTGTAGAGAGAAGTAACAATAATCATGACCAACAAATTAAGATGCAAACAATGCGGCCTTCGGTGGGTACAAAACGTTATCATTGGTTTGATTTGATGCGCAAAAGAGCAAATAAAATAATTATAAAATTTTCTATAAAAATTAGTGTTGTGTTTCTATTTTAAAAATAATCAAAAGATATTCTTTTAAATTTAGATAAATATGAAAAATGTAAGAAACTAGGCCAATATATATATGTTACTTCTAATTCTTAATATAAGAGTTAATTAGAAGTTTAATTTGATTCTAAATATAAGATCTCAATCTACTTTATATCTCATATTTATTTATTTATTTTCAAAGTAATCCTTATAATAGTTGTATATGTTAAATGTTTAATATACTTTTAGCCAATATATGATTAGTAAAGGTATTTTAGAAAAGACAACACTTAATTATTATTATTATTATAAATAACTAACTCAACAAAATTTTTTTAATTTACTCAAGTTAATCAACTACTTATTATATTAAGCATCAGAGATAGTATTATGCAGACTATCTTTGATGATCGATGTTAGAAACTTTTATGTTCTTAAATATGAGGCCCCCCCGAAAAAAAAAAAGGTCCTTACTAATCGTGCTGTAAATAAATATTCACTCCGTTTCATTGTATTCGTCCTTTGAAAGTTAATTATAAAGAGTGAGGAATGCAATAAATATATAAAAATATGATATACTATTATGAAGCCTGCTTCTCATTTTATTTCGAACAGTGTTTAATTAATACCCAAAAACCATTATTGTACTCCCAGGATAAAACAGAAAAAATAACATTAAATTTTGCATTCAAATTGAGAAATAAAGGCTCATGTGAAACAAATTTTTTATTCTAGCCACCTAGTCAGAATTAAGGAAAGATTTTTAAGCGTAAATTTATGATTTTTACCCATATTTAAATGAAATTTTTTAAAATTTGCTTTCCCATTCTGCCTAATAATTAATGACTTTAAATAAAAATAATGTTAAATAATATAATTAATACCTTATCAAATCAAGAAGTGTTCTGCATAACGTAGTTATTATGAGCTCAGTGTATACCTTATTAAAAATACCATGTCTTACTTCTCTGCCTTCGTTTCAACACACAAACTTCAGTAAATAATGCACAATAAGGGGGGGGGGGGAACTCGAGATGATTATTACTGTGCAAATAGAAAAGCTGCGTCAGATTCTAGTAGAAGTTGTCGGGATGTGGATATTTATAACTCTCACCCTCGCTCTGACGCTCACACACTTCAAAATCACCTGCTATTTTCCTGTGAGTATTATTCCAAGTTCTCCTTCGGTTTTCAAATTCCCAAAGATAGCGTCTTTTCTTTCTTTCATTTAATTTGAACGCGGGCTCTCCAAATTAGACTAACGAGAATTCACATTTCTGGGTCTGAAGTCTGAATTGATCCGAGCGAACCCACTCACAACATTTGCGTGCGAAGCCCAAAGATGAGCCCTTGCTGCGACCGAAGCACGGAGAATCAGCTCACCCTAGCTAATGCCGACAAGGAGGATCCAAAATCGAGGTGGCTTTTTCTTAATATATATTTTGTTTCTTCTTCTCTCGTTCTGCATTGTGAAATCTGAAATGGGTTGTCCATGAAGATGGAATCACATTGTTGCATGGGTTATTTCAGGGGCAAGAAAATGGAGAGAGATGAGGGTTTGAACACCGTGGTGCGGTGCCTGAGAGGAAGATTGCTCGCTGAAAGGCAAGCCTCTAGAGTTGCTAATGAGGAAGCAGAGTCTATGGGCAACAAGGTGCTCTGTCACTTTCGGTGAAATTTTTAATCGATTGTGTTTCATGAGTCACATTGTGAAGCTTTTAGCCTGGCAAAACTTTATTCCATGTCTTTATTTCTATATCCTTAAAAAATGAAAATTTCTTGGTGGGGTTTTTGGGTGCTGCACAGTTGGTGGAGCTGGAAAAGAAACTCAGAGATGAGATCGAATTAAGAGAGAAAGCGGAGAAAAGGCTCAAAAAGCTGAAAAAGAAGCTTCAGTCCCTCAAGTTATTCTCTATATCAGAAGAATCAGTGCAATTATCTTCGCCGGAGAAATCTGAAAGTTCTTGTTGGAGATCGCCTGCAAGTAGCTCTGCTTCTAGAGACTCAGAGGCGAGTGGAACCAAGACTCGTACAACAGACTCATATTGGTTGGAGAACGCAATGCACAGTGTTTCAGAACCCTCAGCCTCCATGACACATGGCTATGATGACTCTCAGGGTTCTGATAACTCCACTAGTAATTCAAATTCAGATTGTTCTTCCCCCAAGAACTCAATTTCTCAGGATTTGAAGCATGATGAAAGCAGGTATCCGATTTCAACATGTAGAGTCATAGCACTTACTGAAACAATCTTATCTCCTAACTGCTATTCTTTAAGCTGGCTGATTCTTTTTCCCTGTCCTGTATTCAAGTTCGACCTCAAGATCATCTTCAAAAGATTCCAGTTCTCAAGATTTGAAGAACGACGAATGCAGGTGTGTTGTATTTGATACATGGGGAGAGAGTTACTTGTTCTGAGCAGTTTGTGTCTGTGAAGCCAGGTTTCAAATTTTGATACTGGGATTTTGCTTCAGGCTGTCAGGATTAAGCTCAAAATCCTCAGTGACCGAGTACGAGGATGATGACAGAGATTTCATCGACAACTCTCTGGCACTAGTTCCAGTGAACTTTCCAATAACAAACACAGAGGCAAGAAAAGTAAAGCCAGTTCATGAAAGTGTGGTTGAAGCTCTAGATGCATTAAGGCACGCGAGGGAAAAGCTACTATGCTCAATGGGAACAAGGCACATGATTCAAGTTGGCCCTACCTAAGTTATCACACTGATATCTTAATTATTATAGTAATTATGCTGAGCTTATTTTTCTAGTCACGTTGATGTATGATGGAAAATGAGATTAGTTAGCCCTGGAATTGGAGCAAGAAAGAGTAAAGTTGATACGATGACTGGCCTTAGCTGGAAGGTAAAGTTTCTTTTGGGTGTGTCACTTGTCACACATGTCATGTGATGTAGGGATTTGCTGTCAGGCTGAGGTTTGAGCTAAGGGGGGGGGGGGGTTCCGATCATTCTGTTGACAGTAAAAGGGTCTGAGTTGTGGAATGAGGTCCCTTGATTCTCGTGACTTTCGCAACCATTATGATTTTTTTTTCTTTCGAGTTTCATGGCGAGTTTAGGTTGGATCTTGTTATCTCACAAGGGCAGGCCTGATCTGTGACTTGATCTATCTGCTGTATCAGTATCACCTGGGTGTCTTATCAAAGGACAACTATGTTACTAATTTGAAGTCAGAATAATTGATAGACATGTAGGAGCAAGAATGAACGTTATTGACAAGTCAAGATAATGGACAATCATCCCTAATTATCCGCTAATTTTTTTTCTTTTGGCAGTCAAAAAGAGTGTGCCCTGTTCTTTTTCATCGTTGAAAGTAAAAGATCAGAGAGTCCATCTTTCTGGTCTACATTCGGCAAGTTGAGACTTGAAAGAAGCTTCTCCGTTTTACGCATTTCAGGCCCGCACAATAATAGTTCTCCCTCTAACAGTGAAGCCTTATCCCCCACCCACCAAAAGAAAAAAAAAACTTGAATTCTTTCATGAACCAACAGACACTACAACATTTGGTATTGATTTTTGAATGACTGATAATGCTAGGAAAACAGTTTAATATAAAATATAAAATCGTATCTAATCAGGTTTCAACTCTTAAATGATTGATCAAAAGCTTCCCAGTCTCACAAGCAGGAGTATATGTTTATTATTAAACACTTAAACCACTCTATTTTATGTATCCGAAAGCGTCATCTCTGATTCAACTATACATGCAGCCCATTTATTATGAATGCAATTTCATATATATATGGTCAAAAGAGGAGAGAGAAGGTGATGAAACTGAATCTGCAACAAAACGCCTTAACTTGATCGAATTGTAGTTCAATTTTAGTACGTGTGTGTTAAGTGAGGTGGAGTTGTATGGGAGGGTCGCCTCATGGCAAGACAACAGAGCCAAACAATTCCCTAAACAAATGCTAGAAAAACGGCAACATAATTCAGAAATCAATGAGAGAAAACCAAGTTTGCAACGTTGGAAAAGGAATCACAAAACCATGTTGCTGTCTTAATATTACAGAATTCACGAATTATTGCAAGTTCCAAGAAGGTGTGTGGATACGTGTACCACATGTTTTTGTGTCTGCACAGCCTCAAATTTTTTTCTCTCCCTCGTGACCCTTCGCCATCAGAAAGCTCCACTTTATTACACCAGCCACAGCACAAAACTATTCACGACATAGCAGCTCCCAATTCCAACTCCTAAACAAACCTTAAAAAATTTCAAATTCAAGCTTCGAACAAAACAATTAAGTAATATGGCCAGATTGGTGAGTCATTTTGCGTGTTCCTGCCAGATCCATCTTCTTTCATATAACTACAGTATTACCGTACAGGGGTTGGGATTTCCATGGCGTTTCTAAATTACTACTACTTTGCTATTGCTTTGTTTCATTTTAGGGGTTTTCATATTCTTGTTAATTTTTGTAAGGTGCAAAAGTGAAAAACAAAAACGTGAGTAATGCTTTGACTTTAAAATCTATCAGGCCCCTACATTTGTTTCCACAAAACAGTTAGGTGATTATGAATCAAGAAAGTGAAATAACAAGGAAAATAAGCCGGCCACAGTAACATTGAAATTTTATAATATACTTTAATGTAGATATTTACATAAATATATTTATTATTATTTCGACAAGAATCAAGCCTACATTGAAGTTCTTCTCAATAATTAAAGCTGATACGAGGAGAAATCTGAATAGAACTTGTATTGCTATAAGATGAATAGCATATGTAGCGACGATAAGAGGGCGTGAAAACGTGCCTGTCACGAACTGTGAAAATAGTAAAAGTTACGAATGATCACGAAAGATAAACCAAGAAAAATATGATGCAAACCCAGAAAAGAGTTCCCTAAAACAAAGGATGACAGCTTTAAAAGGTGATGGAACTGAAAGTCTCAGCCAAGGGAATGGAAGACTCGCAGAAACCCACTTGGCCACACGAGCATCGAAATCATTCACAAGGGAGACAAATAAATGGACAAGAATAACAATGTCAGACTCTCTACTTCAAATCTCTCTCCATTTCCTCTTCTTGGATCTCTCTTTCTGACACTTCTCTGAAGACGAACATCATCTGCCAAGAACCCCCACACACTTCTCCTATCCCATTGCTCCCTTTCATCCCTTAGATCTTCGACCATCTCTGCCATATTGAGTCTTCGTCTTCTCTTCCAGCTAGCCCGTTCTCCACATACCCCACACCTTCTTACCCACTGAACCCATTCAGCTCAGGTTCAAGGCACACACGACAGAGTATCACCACTCCATATCGATATTCTCTGTACTTACATGCTAACTTTGTGAATCTCAGTTACTTCAGTCCATACCCATTTGTTCCTTTTCTGATGGGTATATAGCTTTATGATCTGAGGTCGTGTCCGTAGGTGATAAATGCCAAGGAGAGAACAGATAAATTTTTCTTAGATTGACGAATTGCCTGAAGAAATGGTCAAGTCATGCTGGAAACCATCTGTGGAAGGTGAAGATGGAGAAGGGAGTGGGAAGGTTGATGGATTGCTATGGCACAAGGATTTAGGCAATCATCTGTATGGGGATTTCTCAATGGCCGTAGTTCAGGCCAATAGTTCATTGGAGGATCGAAGTCAGCTCGAATCTGGACCCTTCACTTGCAATAATGATAATATGGGTCCTCAAGGCACCGTCATAGGTGTCTACGACGGTCATGGTGGCTACGAGGCCTCCCAGTTCGTCACCGACAATCTCTTCTCTAATCTCAAGAGTATGCTCTCATCTTCATTATCAGACCTATTTGGTTGTTTTTTTTTTAAAAAAAATATTTCTAATTAGCACTAATTTTGCTGTTTGATCCAGGACTTGCAGGCGAAGAAGGAGGCATGGCAGAGAGTGTTATAAAGAAGGCGTATCGAGCAACAGACGAAGGATTTCTGTCTATGGTGAAGAGAAAGTGGATGAGCAAGCCAGAGATTGCTTCCACAGGGACGTGTTGCTTAGTGGGGATAATCTGTAATGGGATGATATATATAGCAAATTCTGGAGACTCCCGAGCGGTGCTGGGAAGAATGGAGAGGGCAACGAAAGAAGTAGTAGCTATTCAACTATCCGCAGAACACAACGTTAACATAGAAACAGTAAGAGATGAAGTTCGATCAAAGCACCCCTTTGATTCACAAATTGTGGTCCTGAAACATCAAGTTTGGCGCGTCAAAGGCCTCATTCAGGTACGCCAAGAAAACAATATCGACAACACAGAACAAACAGTGCTCAAATCCCATGTTTAAATACAAGTTATGTTTTTGCAGGTTTCGAGATCCATAGGTGATGCATATCTGAAAAAGGCAGAATTTAACAGAGAGCCTCTGCCATTGAGGTTTAGATTGGCGGAATCCTTCTTCAAGCCTATTCTCAGCTGTGAGCCGTCAATAGCAACGCAGAAACTCCATCCTGACGATCACTTTCTCATATTTGCTTCGGACGGTTTGTGGGAGCACCTTAGCAACCAAGAAGCCGTTAACATGGTCAATAATAACCCACGTAATGTAAGCTTCCAAATGTACTGGTCATGTTTTTATGTGTGTGTTTATTTCAGAGTTT